CTGTTTTCTACTTTATTCACAAAGAAAATTTATTCTGTGACTGTTCATGTTGTAATATTTGTATGCAATGAAACGATGATTATAATATACAAACATTTCACTCATGTGAACAATTAACGAAACTAATTGAAATACACGACTGCTAAAATAACTATAGCATTGTGTTTATATTATTGTACTTTCGTTTTTCACTCAGAACACCAGAATGAAATGAAGACTGACTGCTGTACTAATTAATTGTTGCATATCTCGGAAATACATTGAAATGTTTACTTTTCAATCCGATAGCTTCAGAATATAAACCATTCATATTTCTTTGAGCTGAATATAATAGTAGCATCATTCTGAGTTTTGGCCAAACTCATCTTAGAAAATCCAATATTTTAAAATAAGTTGATTAATTAGCGTATTCATGCTTTTAATATATTTCTTTTTCGAGTAGTGACATTTAATGACCAATTTATTCAGAGTAAGTTATATACATCTGCACTTCTGTGAATTACCTTAATCGATCTATAGAGTTTTGAAAATAACAGCATGTTTGACAACTTAGTTATTCATTTAATAGTTACAAGCAAAACGGTGTACTTTTCATAGAATATAGAAAGGATATAAAAATTATAAAAACAAATATATACATAGTAGAAATCTTAAAATGCGTGGCGACGACAGCTACAAAATGTTTTATTAGATATAACTGGGATGATATGTTGAGACTATTTTCTGACTGACAAATCATCAATAATTTATTACAATCATTTTGAATGTATGTCATATTTTTCCAGTGAATAAATTGACACTGTCTTCATATACATTACTATATGTATCGTATTTGCAAGTGTCGAATTTGTAATTTTAACAAAATGCGTAATACTATTGCATTTTTACTGATTTACATTTACATTTGCATGTGAATATAAAGGAGGTTGTTCACCCCTATATCGAACACTGAGTGATCTGAACTGTTTGACCTTCGTACCCAAGTAAACGAGCGTTACTGCACATATAACACACCTATATTCATTGTTTTTTTGTTTGGTTCTAGTCAATTTTACAAAACATTTAATATATTATCAAGTATTTCGAACTCTGGGAAGCAAACTCGACTAGCTTCGCTATTTCTGTTTCCCAGCCATATTATACATATGTATTTCGACTTGTGTTCGTTTATTTGTTTATCCACTTGTTTATTTATTTATACATGTACATTTCTTTCATATAATTATTATACTTACTTCTACTGTAACTATTTTAACTTTGAATAATATGGTAAATAAAACAACAGTATTTGATGCTAAAATATAGCTGAAAATATTTTTTTTATAAAAAACAAGCCTAACTCCTGAATTAGCGGTTGAAGCTGACGTCACAATAAGGAAGTTGTTATGTTTATATAGATCATCATGTTATTCATGTGATAAAATTCGTATGAAAAAAGCTCGTTGAAAAATTGACACTGGTTGTGTCATTTAGTAATTATTAAGTAATATCTTAAACTGTTACGACAGCTTGGTTGTCTATCTATAAAACAAATAGAGTTGAACCTCCCACACAACCATCTCTCCAGCATAAACGAAAATTGAAATATAATTTGTGTGTCGCTGTAACTAAATCAATTGATGATCAGGCAATCAGTATTGATTGCCTGATCATTTTGTTATTTCAACTGTAACTG